CGAATCAAAATGGGAAAGAAACATGGTGGATTACCCGGTGGGCCTGGGGGTGTCCAATGTGTGGAAGAACATGGGTTCGCGTTGTGCAAAATATGAGCATTTTTCTCGTACGTGATCCAGATTAGGGGTGGGCACATTAAATCCTTGTCCTATTGCCCGTCTCGCTTTGATGAACGGGTCAGGGGTGAGACACTGTCCTACTAAATACAGGTATTCATTTGGGACTGGAAAAAATTGATTCAGTACAATGCTGATTTGAGGCAAAAAGATAATGAATAAATAAAAATACAACATTTCTAATTTGACGTAGAAAAAGAAACTAAAAAATCATCAAATATTGATCGAACATTGCATTAATTCATTCATCAGTTTTCTGCCGTTTTACCAATATTCTCTTTAAAAAAGTTCTAATTGCATCCATGATACTTCAAAATAATTTAAATATATCATAATCACTACCTCAAAACCATCATCTTCATCTCCTAATATACCCAACATGGAAAAGGATTGGGCTTGGATTTTGGATTAATGGGTCTAATGTATTAGTAATATCAATATGTAATATATACACACAATATTTTGTATCAAGGTAATTAAACGGGACAAATGGAAAGATTCGAGACAAAAGTATTTGAAATTTACTTACATTGTTATAACTGGTTCGTTTAGTACTGGAATACCGTATATTTTGGAACGAAACCACTTTGGTTTGGTTCGATTCTGGAAATTTGTATGTTTTCTTTTCTTTTTTTGCTCACCCCAAAACTTGATAGGCTAATACATATTTTAACCACCCTGTGCGTATTCATTACCAAATAGGTCATTTACACCAACCACAACTTATTCTTGAGGAAATTACATAGTTCACTACACATTAGCATTCTTATTATATATTTACAGGCATATATATTTATTTTAAAGTAACTAAAGATATCATATTTTTTTTTTTTGCAAATATACCATACCAGATTATTAATTAACATATAATTGTATATTAATTATGTAACAACGATTTTAATGTGAAGTCATCCGGCCAAAAATTGAATTCTTATATTAAGGAAATAACTTCCCGGCTATACTTATCACTGTGCCAGCCGCCCACTTCTTTTTCAACTTGCTTTCACTTTTCAATAAACCCTAAGAAGAAAAAAGTTAGCAAAAACCAAAGTCGTGCCGAATGTTGGTAGAGTTACATCGAGCGACGCCACAAATGGGGTCGAGTTTAGGTCTTTGCAATTCCAAGCTAAAAGCGAAAGAAACCTCGTACAGAATAAACTCCACTTAGAAAAGAAATGAAGTCGGGTGGTTACACGAAAACTAATCGTAAATTTCTCCTTCAAATGACCGATTCCACACTCGATTCTGACAATTTTAAGTCTTACTCTAGTGAAATCTAACAATAAAAGAACTTGAAGACGACTTGAAGGATAGAACCACAAATTGGCAGAAAAAGACGGCACGCGGGATCCCGATTTTCTCGTTGAAGATTACTTTTGAGTATTTTTCTTGAGGTATCTGATGACAACATATGGTTGGCCAAATTCTCTTTGTTTTGCTCCGTTTTCTCTTTCGGCTCTGTTCAGCTCCATTGGTCACAGTGGCCACCTAATCAGAGCAATGCACCTAATGGTTGCGGATGCTATAATTATAGATTCTGGAGCCATGCATGTTGTCGTCGTAATGTTGTTGTTTGATTCTGGAGCCATGCATGTTGTCGTCGTAATGTTGTTGTTTGGGAAGTCACTGCAGTAAATGAAAAATTATAAATGTAGCTAAATATTTAACCACTTAAATACATAATAATAATAATAATAATTATAATAATAATAATAATAATAATAATAATAATAATAATAATATATTGTGTAGCAATATATTAAGTATTTAAAATCATATAATTAAATCAATCAAACTACTAATAATAGTTAGTAGTGTGTTTGAATTTGACTATTCATGAGAATGCATCAATTGGAAACTAAGGACAACGGCATGAAATGCAGTTAATAATATTCTAGATTAGAATAAACTATGCAACCATTTGAAAATATCTAAATATTCTAAATCAGGATAAATATTCTGAATTTAAGTAAAACAAGTTAAAAATCGCTGTTAGACCAAAACAAACATTCCACAAGATATATATATATATATATATATATGGTCTTCAAGTCAACTGATATTGTACTTGTCACAAATCGGGGTTGAACTTGACAAATTGGTGATACAATCTGCACGCACACGAGCGTCATTGGCAACACTAACACCGCAGCATGAATTACCCTATTCCTCCCATAAAGCTTATTGGAGAGCTCCACAATATTGATCTCCTCATTCTCCTTTAGTATGAGTACGACACTTTTACCATGCTATGTGACCTTAGGCTCTATCTTCCCAACTCCTGGTGAAGTAAAAATGAATATTATTTCTTTTTTCAGTTTTAATTGTAAAATCTTTTTATTTTTCCTCATCCACAAGAAAAAAATAAAATTTTCACAATTGAAATTAAAAAAAAAAAAATAATATTCCTTTTTACTTCACCAGGAGTTCGGACGGAAATAGAACCTAAGGTCATAGAATATTAACATGTTAATAGTGTCTTACTCGGACCAAAGAAGGATGAGGAGATCGATGTTGTGGAACTCTCCGGTAAGTTTAATGGGAGGAATGGGGTGATCTATGTTGCAGTGGTCAGTATTGATGCCAATGACATTCGTGTGTGATCGTTCAACCCCGGTTTGTGGCCAGTGCAACATCAGTTGACTTGATAAAGCCATATATATATTTCTTGGGGTGTTTGTTTAGGTCTAATGACGGATTTTTTCTAACTTGTTTTACTTATTCAGAATATTTATCCTGATTTGAAATATTTGGATTGTTTCAAATGGTTGTATGGTTTATTCGATTAATAGAATATTATATATTAGAATTCCAGTTGTTCTTAGTTTCAATTGTATGATACATTCAAGTTGTATTGATTTTATTATATGGTTTTAAATACTTAATATATTGCTACACAATATATTATTATTACTATGTATTTTAGTGATTAAATATTTAGCTACATTTACTACAGTGACTTCTCAAACAATGGGTCTGGAAATGGTTTTGAAGCCACCCCAAAGGCAAATGTGAACAATGAAGTTTCACCATCACTTAACCCTCTTTCTTCGGATGGTTTTGCACCATTAGCTGCCTATTTGCTTTGCTGGCAAGAGTATCTTTTATTAGAATCAAAGCAAGGGAATAAAATGCGAGAACAAGATTGCAGTGTTCGAGAACAAGACTTCTCAAACAAGATTGCTTATGTGAGGCCGGAGGCCGCATCTCAATCAACAAACACCACGACTTGGGGTTCTGGTGTTGTTACTGCCGTTGGCTTTTTTTTTTTTTTTTTTGATCGTTTACTGCCGTTGCCTTTGATCCATCACGTGGTGGTTATGTGATATCTGTTGTGATAGTTGAAGGTATTACTGTTATGCTAATGTAAATTGCTTTACATATATGCTTCAATTTTCATACTTATGTGGTCCAATTTGCTAAGTTTCTGCACGTTACTACACGGGCTTGTTTGTAGACACATGTTCTGTTTTTTTCTTTCTGATTTAAATTGGAATCGAAGATTTTTGTTCATTCGTATTTTTGTTTTTTGTTAATTTTATTGTATTTTTTTGGGATCGAAGATGCTTTCTTTTCCGTGCATCTTTACACATGCCATAATGTTATAGTCCATTTGTGATTTTTGTTCTTCTGGCTTTGGTTCACTGAAAATGTACACAGTTTGGCTACTAAGATGACCACATGAAGATAATGCAGGCACAAGTATCCCCATATATATCCGTTGATTCTTCAACATCAGTCGGTTCGGACCTCCGTGTATATATATATATAAAGCTTTAAGTTGGAGTTAAACTATGCATGTTTTTAGTTACATTTTAGAATATCATACATTTAAATTTTTATTCTGCTGTGGAAAATTATCTGCCTAAGTTTTGGGCATAAGTTATGAGTACAGTTGCTATTGTTAAACTTGATTGAAATAATTACTTGAGGTGCTTATAAACTACATGAGCAACATAGGTATTTTAACAATTATATCCCTGTACTCTGATATTCGAAGCTTGCTGATGGCATAATTTGTATATTCAAGCTCCTGCTATTTTTTGCTTTTTCTTTCGCCGAAATCAGTTAACCCGTTTTTATTAAAATAAAACAACTAAACTTTATTTGATAGGAGAGAAGAGAGATGATGTGAAACGATCGTTAGTTAAAATTATGCAAGTAGATGAACATTGAATTAAAGATGATATGATGTGTTCAATTATTTATTCGTTGTCTATATATAAACTTTGCAATATGTGAGACCAAGGCTTACTACATATTATGTTATTTTGGTGATTTAAAATCAAAATTGTGTTCAATTATTTATTCGTTGTCTATAAACTTTGCAATATGTGAGACCAAGGCTTAATTAAACTTGATACACGTGTCAATAGAAAAAGGAAAAAAAAAAAAAAAAATTGGATAAGGAACTTTTCTTGAACTATACTAAAGTACACATCAAACACCACATCACTTGACCAAAATTTAAGTTACTCAAGTTTATTTTAATTAATAAAATTATCATCTTTATTTAATAAAAAATAATGACAAAAATAAACACCATGCATGTGTCATTTACTAGTACTTCAAAAATAATGTACTTGTAGATGGATGGGAGTGTAAATGCCAAAAAAGGCAAAGAGCAAAGCCATATTTCTGGTCACAATACATTTTAACATTATATGCTTAATTGAACAATTAATAACTAATTAAGTGCACTATTAAATATTATCAATTAAATTTCAGAAATAGTTTGTTAAAATTCTTCATCATACAACTTCAACAAGTTTACATCGAGATGATTGAGCATGATTCTAACTGTAAAATCAAAACCATAGAAATTAACTCTCAGAATATTTTCAAACAGTTCACCCACAAAATTAACTCACTTGGGCCATTCGCTATATTCTCTTTACACTGTCACCATGAACCGTGACGAATCCTTCGCTTGAAAGAGTAGCCAATGCATTTCGAAGCTGGTAAAAAAACACGAAAATGCATTCCATTAGAGCATATCTTTTTGATAACATTGACAATCACAAATAGGATACTTGCAAAATTTTGAGAGAAAGGAACTCACATCACTAAGGTGGATTTCAGAAGCATTATTATTCTCCTTCTTCAGCTCTTCAAGTAACTGCAAATAATAGAATTCGGTAAAATTAGCTAAACAGTGGATTAAGTTGAAAAATAAGACAGAATAATGACTTAATTTTACAAACTAGAATACACAACAAACCTCCAACAGACGAATTGAAGGCCCTCCGAGTTGCATTTTCTCCATAATTATGCTGCGTGTGTTTGAAACCAAGTTTTCCCGCCTCATCCTTTCACTTGCAGAAACCCCAGTTGTAATGAGATCCATATCAATGGTTCCTGCTCAACATTATCAAATTATCTAGCCCATTGAGTTCACAAAGACAATCGGGTAAAACTTAATTATGATGTTCGCAAAAAGCTAATCTTGAGGTGAAAAATTTTAGATAACCTTAAAGGTATTACAAATGTGCTTTCATAAAAAATCAGAATAAAATATGTAAAATAAATAATTTTTTTTATTCAGCCGGAGTATTATCTATATTAGACCAAACACCGAGAGTATCATATTAATGAACCTTTATGATTAACAAAGTATCACACTCTTGTTTATTATGATCTGTGTACATCTATGAATAAATAAAAATGGAAATGTGGAAAAAGATAAAATCACCCGTTGAATGGTCTGTTGCAGACTGTTGCATTGCCACTTCCAGTAGCCTGAAAGCCTCGGTTACATCACTCTTTTCCACCTGCAAGTGCAAGATCGTAATTAAATCGTCAACGTCAGTCAAAGTTGAAGTCAGGGTCACTAAAAAAGAGCTTAACCAACCACTTCTGATAAACGAATTCGGGCCAGAGCTTCACCAAGGCGTATCAAACTTTCTATTTGCCTTGGGGTTGCAGTTATAACCTGTCGACATAATATTCAAATGTGAAGAAGGATAAAATCAATAGCTATAACACATGTGGGCACAAAAAAGTTTTGACATAATATTATAACCTTTTTACTGCTTCCTGGGAAATTTCCTCTTCTTCTCATCTCCACATATCCTCTAGTCAACTCTTCAGCAGCCTCATCCGATAACTGTGGATGAATATGTTGTCTTGCATAGCTTACATAAGCAGTTAAAGTTGGCAGGTCGATCACATCTTGCTCTGAACTCTGTAAGCAAAAGGCAACGTTGAGATGTTCAAATGCAAATCAGAAGAATAAACCGTTAAACAAAGTAATATAGAGAAAGAAAAGATTCAAACATCAGGATCATCAAAGTGTAGTGCCACAATGTGCTTTGCAAGGCGCCGATCTGTCTGCTCGTCTGCCTTGTCAAGAATTAAATAGATCAAATCAAACCTGAAATTAAAGGAAATACAAGTCACTGTAAATAGCAGCTCTAATGACACTTACAAATTAAGTGATCAAGTAAGATTGTATGCATATCAGATTAATTAGCCACTGCAATTGGTATTATTTTTCGAAATCGAACAATAGAAGATAAAATAATAACACAGTTTAATTGAGGGCCAAAATAGCAGAAGAATATTTATATTTTATACCAAAGAATAACCTTAAAATACGAAAACTTAACAGTCTTTACCTGGACAACAAAGTAGGAGGAAGGTGAATATTTTCGATCACAGACAAACGAGGGTTGTAACGTGAACCAATTGGATTAGCACAAGCCAGTACTGAAGTTCTTGCATTTAGGGAAGCAATGATCCCTGCCTTAGCAATTGAAACAGTTTGCTGTTCCATAACCTGATGAAAAGGTCTCATTAGAAATACAATCAAAATAAACAGGAGAAATAAAAGGATAGCAATTTGTCGTCAAACAGCAGCTCAAGGGAAACCACATTTTGATACCAAAAAAAAAATAAAAAAATTATACAGCCACTTTGGGAAGTAAACATATTAATATACACTTAAATAGAATTACAAAATCAATATTCACTTCGAATCATACCTCATGTAACATACTTCTTGCATTGTCAGACATTTTATCAAACTCATCAATGCAACAGATGCCCCTGTCACTCAGAACCAAGGCCCCACTCTCCAGGACCTTTAAAAAGATATTTTTCCAGTAAACCCACCTTTTTCATGGTTAAATAATAGACAGGGGAATAACAAAATTAGATTTGTACCAAATTCACTCACCGTTTCACCAGTCTCAGGATCTTTAGTGACATAAGCAGTCAATCCCACCGCAGAACTTCCTCGTCCACTGGTATAGATACCACGAGGAGAGAGCTTGTGGATGTACTGGAGCAGTTGAGATTTGCTAGTTCCAGGATCCCCAACAAGAAGAATATTTATATCACCTCTGAAACTAGCACCAGATGGCAAACTCAATGCATTCCCGCCGAAGAGCTGTTTTGGGAATTAGCAATCAAGCGAATTCTGAGTAAGTTGACATGAAAATGAAACCCATTAATTACAATACTATCAATTGGCTTGAGATGTGCACCTGGCAGAGAAGGCCTTTCTTGACATCATCCAACTCCCATATGTTTGGTGCTAAAGACCTAGTCAATCTTTCATATATATCAGGCTGTCTAGATAGCTCCTTTAGTTTCTCGACCTGCAATATGCGAAAAAACAGTGAACTCATAACACAATGGAAGGGCTAATAGTTTTATATGTAATGTGGTCACTTGAGCACCTTATCATCATCATTAAGAATTGATCCATTATCAATATTACTTCCTGAGTTTTCAGTTACTGAATCCTCCACATACATTCTTGACTTGTCCGAAGTCTTTAGATGAAGGCAATCAATGTAAGTCTGGAAAAAACAGAAACCACTGAATATATTTTAGGCACATCAAATGAAGATAGCATATACACACATCTCCAGCATTTAAACAAAATCTCAATTTAGCACTCAATAAAATGACACTAGTGAAGCTGGAGGTGCTTGCCTTGAATATTGACTTCACAGTCCTCTGTGTTTGACCAATTCTAACACTCATAGCCCTGTAGATTCCAGTAACCTAAGAGCAATAACAGCAATTTATTTCAGATTGTATACTGCAATATGTCCTGCAGTAAAAACATATAAATAATCTCACCTCAACTCTGTCACCTGGTTTGCCAGCATCGACTAGCTTGTCATGCATCAACAAGCTCACTGTGTGTGGTGTTCCTCCCTCAGGTATCTCATCTGGTGTCTCTTGAAGTCTCACAATTTGTTTATCAGCAAATCTGTTTTATTTTTTTTCTTTATGTAATTATAAAGCTGATAGAGAAATTCAACAATGTCTAGCTCACTGTTTGATAGTCAGTAGAAAAATATTTGGTTCCAAAAATAAAAAAGTCCCAAAACAAGGAACACTGGTGGAGTAAATATGGCTAAGGTTTTAAAAACCCAATACTAGTATTTGGATTTAACATGAAATCCAACTATTTTTTCCCCAAAAACGACAGATGCAACTAGAGATCAACATAGTTTTAAATACTCGTATTAAAAACTAATCTGCAAACATTAAATGATTTAATTAACTCGTTAAAACTTTGTATATCAAGGAGAATACACATTCTTCATATATGGAAGTCTAGAGACTACATAACATTTTCCTTAAACCAACCAACACATGGGACAGTTTGCATCCTCTGGATCCGGTTTAGGATTTAGAAATTATATGCTCAATCAAATAAATGAGGCAAAGTAAATATCTCACATATCTTAAAAGTAAAAGGGAACGAAAATAGCAGAATGTGACGTTATGTCTTTTGTTTCTGTCAGAGATTCCACATAATAAGTAGTCTAACTTTTTCAATCCACCCATACAAAACATGTAATGTAACCAAACAAGCTAATTAAATTCATTACCTGCACCTATTGTGAACGAGGGTCATGGAGTTTTTAGAAAGACATTCTTGCCTTGCGCAAACTGTAGGCTCGTCAATTCTTCCTAAAAATTTCAAGCAAAGCAAAGCAAAAAAAGTTAAACCAAAACGCATATTAAGTCTCGCTTTATCTACAACATAAATCAAGCAATTGCATTTCATTACCTCCATTAACGACAATAGGGTCACAGTAATAACCGCAGACAAGACATCTGAAGACAGCTTCCCTAATCTCGGGTACAATGGAACTACACCGGATAATCATCCCTTTCAACGAAACCATCTTCTCAACATCTAATCACAGAACATAGAAATATACCCTCATTACGCCATATATATTGGAATTTAACATAAAACAACCACAAAGAGAGAGATAGAGAGAGAGAGAGAGAGAGAGAGAGAAGGTACACCAACCAGAAGGGTTCAGATTTCTCAGTGAAGTAGAAGTCTTGAGATTGAAAACCCTGACTTGGATATGCTTCCCAAAAGCCTCATTGATCTTACTAACCATTTCCATCAATGCTATGTCGAAAATCGCAAGAACCTCAAGTGGATACCTAACCATCTTTGTATACAGGTCGCCATCGTAATCAAAGACATCATGTGCATCAATGTCAATTGAATCCCCCTCAGTTTCAATCACATGGTTAATAGCTCTCATATACTTCCCCTCCTCGATCTGCTGAGGATTTTCCCTAAAATTTCTCAAAAACCTAAGAAATGCAGCATTAACATCGTGAACGCTGATGTTTGTGCCCCACACGTACATGGCCGGGGCCTCATCATCTCCCTCATCATCCTCGGAGGTTGGTGGCACCCCGTCGGTCGAGGACGGCGTGGCAGCTGCACCTGGTGTGCCGAATGGCCGCCTACGCCGACTGCGTGGGGTGTTTTTATGGCCGGTCGGAGGAGAACTTTTGCCGGAATCCTGCGGGAGTGGAGATGGCGGGAGTGGAGATGGAGTGGCGTAGGAGGTTTGACGGTTGCGTTTTCTGCGCCCAGGGCTCGAGCCCGTGTTGCTGATTGGGCTTGTGGCCCAGGGATCTGGAGAAGAATCTGAAGCCATAGTCCTCACTGTGCCTGCCTGAGAAAGAGAGAGAGATTAGGGTTAGGAGAATTGGGGATGGTGATGTTCTTAACTGAAAGGAATTGGCGGGAAAATGCAGGGTCCTATGGCGCCAAAAGATGGGAACCCCGTTGGGCTTTTTGTTGGGCATTGTTTTTTGTTTTTTTTTTTTTTTTTGGTTGGGCTTTGGTTCTACTAAAGGCCCAATTATAGGCCGAATCAAGGCCCAAAAGGCCAAATTATATCGATACTTAACGAAATAAAAATATTTGTAAAAATACCATGGTGTGATCTTGTATTGCATATTTACATAATCGCGTGGAAATAATTGCATCCCTACATCAGCTAACAATACCATATCTCCTAAAATCATGTAACTACTATACCTGACCTTTTTTTTCACAAAGGTAATTGAAACTGACATGGTAATTATATATTTTCTTAATAAATAGGATAGTCTTGTAGAAAAAATCAGTGATTTGAATTTTGAAATTTACCAAACTCAAATTAACACGGAAAATTCATTATACATGTCGTTCTGAAGAATGATATTTTCGTGTATACTAGTATACTAGTACAACGCCCGTGTATTACACGGGTGTGTGCTAATTTTTTTCTTAAAATATAAAATTAATGAGAAAAATAGTTGAAAATCTAAATACCTTTTATAAAAATATATATATTATTATATCGTTAGTATGACACTTTTTATTTATGCGACTTACATGTGTTATACTGTAATAATTTTTTTAACTTACAACAAATAACTACATTAAACATAAATATATCAATTGAGAAATAATTTTATTTTTTTAATGAATTTTAATAAATATTATTATTTTTTAGTATTATAAAAATAAATATAATTTATTTATTTCATATATACAATATGGATGTCAAATCGAAGATCATCAAAAGATGATTAATTTGATATATTATATATGTAAAACCGATAAGAAATACAAAAGTTATTAACTTTTAAAGTACATTTACAATTCAATAGCTAATTGGGGGAAACAAATCAAAAGTCAAGAATATATTAAAATACATAAGTTAGCTAAATAATATTTATGGAATATCCAAACCTAAATTATTATTTATTAATATATCAATATTATTTGTCCAAGCCTAATTACGAAGCATGATTCTTCGCCAAGTAGGATTACGAAGCACCAAAAGCAGCCACGTAGGCTCAGCGCATTCTGTAATTATATATAGGGAGAATTTTTGGGTATTTTTTGTTCTGTTGTATATATGTTCTGATACATGTTTATGTATATAACTATACTAGTACAACGTCCGTGTATTACACGGGTGCTTGCTAATTTTTTCCTTAAAATCTAAAATTATTGAGAAAATGTAGTTGAAAATTTAAATAACTTTTATAAAAATGTATATTATTATATATTTAGTATGACATTTTTTATTTGTGTGACTTACTTGTGTTATATTATATTAATTTTTTTAACTTACAACATATAACTACATTAAACAAAAATATATCAACAGAGAAATAATTTTATTTTTTAAAAGAATTTAATAGATATTATTTTTTATTATTATAAAGGTAAATATTATTTATTTATTTTATATATACAATATGGATGTCAAATCGAAGATAATGAAAAGATGATTAATTTGATATATTATATATGTAAAACCGATAAGATATACAAAAGTTATCAACTTTTAAAATACATTTATAATTCAATAGCTAATTGAAGGAAACAAATCAAAAGTCAGGGATATATTAGTAACTTAGTGTCTCACTATGTAAAATTACAAAGAATTAAAGGGTTACATTAGTACAAGTGATATTAAAATACCTAATTTAGTTAAATAGTATTTATGGAATGTCCGAACCTATATATTAATTATTAATATATCAATATTATTTGTCTGAACCTAATTACGAAGCATGATTCTTCGCCAAGTAGAATTCCGAAGCACCAGAAGCAGTCACGTAGGCTCAGCGCATTCGGGAATTATATATAGGGGCGATATCTAGTATATTTTTTGGGTATTTTATGTTCTGTTGTATAAATTTTTTGTTTTTTTTTAATCTAGTGTTTACATATATATATATTTTTTTTCTGGGGTTTATATATGTATACCGAACATATATATCGAACATATACAGAACATATACAAAAAGTAACACAATACTAACACAATATCCAGGCGAACATATACCGAATATATGTATACCAAACAAATACCATTAGGTTTAGATATGTATACTGAATATATACGAAACATATAGAGAACATATACTAAAAATAACACAATGTCTCGAAGCATAATAAACTCAACATATTCCACAACAGAATAAATCAAACAACAAAATTCTCAAAAATTATCCCTCCACATATCCCGCCACATGTCCCCGAACATAATTAATTAACGGCCATGGACCTCATCGGATTGGATTTTCCACGGCCCCCGAGCCCGAATTCTCGGGCCAGCACGTGCAAATCATCCATCGGGCAGACCCAGTCAACGGCTCAAGAAGCGGCAGTGATGAATTATTGAATAAGAAGATGAAGAAAGATGGATTAGATCTGGGCGAAGCGTGGTTTACAGGAGAAGACGAGGGCGGCGACGGCGGCGGCGAGGAAGCCAAAAAAGTCCAAAACACGGTGTCGTTTCATCACCGCTGAAGATTGACGACATCTTGGTATCAAAGTGGATGCCTGAAGAGATTGAATCTGAAGCTTTTTCTTTCTTTCTCGCGAGAGCCTCTGCAGATGTAGAGAGAGAGACATGAATAACAATTGATCGATTAATTAAGGCCGGCCTTCGATAATAATCGACGAGAAGAAGAAGAAGAAGATTATGCGTAGAAGGAGAGAGAGAGAGAGAGAGAGAGAGAGAGAGAGAGAGAGAGAGATTGTGTAATAATAAATCTAAATCTCATTACGATTGATTGCAATGTGATAAGTCACCCTTAATCATTTTTTTATATCAGGTAATTTTGCAATTATAAAGCTAAAATCTTATATATTTGTAAATATTTGCAATGAGGTTTCATTTATGTAAATAAAACTGATATGTACTGTAAAGTGTGCAATTTTCTCAAAATAGAAATTGTCCAAGAAGAAAAAAAACTATTAAAATTATAGAAATACATGAATTCTAAATAGGGGAATTCTAATATCAGATTTGACTCGTACTAGCCTCGTACCTACCTAACATTAGGTTCTCTTTTAAAATCATGCCATGTGTCCCAAAATTTAATTAATTAAGAAAGTAATTAAATAACAAGCTTGGATAAATACTAAAGTACACTTACTTAAAAAAAAATTATAAACTAGAGTGTTTAACTATTATGATATTATTATTATACCCTAATAATATGTACATATTCCAATTAGGCCACGAATTGAAATTAAATTGCATTCTATCTTCAACACAATCAATCATCTTCATCTTTCTTCCCCGTCGAAGTGAAAAGCTATCTTTCTTAAATTGGATTTACATGGATCAAAATATGTGTTAATTATGTTAAGATAAATAATTTTGAATTAATTTTCATGATGTTCTTGGTTCTGTTCGTTCATGACCTGTTCGTGAATATTTGGATGTGATTGTTAAATTCTGGGAATTGATGTTCACCATATATGGGAATTGTAATTCCTACACAGTGCCTATTGATTTTATTTTAATTATAATTAAACTGTAATTAAGAAAACTGATTTGGGATTGTGTTTTGGTTCTGTTCGGACAACACATACAAAATCTGGGATTTGTTCATGGTCATCTCCGATCGTCGATCTCCCGTCACGCCGGGACTCGAGCGGCCAAGGGTCGCTGCCGCTGGGCCGTTTCCGTCGCGTTGCTGTTGCCGCTAGTTTCTTGTTCGAGAAACCCGTTTCTTGTTCAAGAAACTCGTTTCTTGATCCATGTAAATCCAATTTAAACAGCAACTATTATCTTAGATATTTAAAAATATTTCAATGTTTAAACTTGTTGATAAATAATTCATAAATCTCCATATTTTTACTTATTTTCAAATATATATCTAAATTTTAACTATGAAAATTAATCATAAGCTATAAGCTAATTTATCAGGTATCAGTTAACTTATCAGATATTTTTCGTCCGTTAAGTACACAATTAACGGGTTTCTTGAGAAGTAAACGGGTTTCTTGAGAAATAAACTTGTTTCTTCCGAAATAAAGTCGTTTCTGGAGAAGTAAACTGGTTTCTTGAGAAATAAACTGGTTTCTTGAGAAACAATGCCGTTTCTTGAGAAATAAATTGGTTTCTTGAGAAATAAACTGGTTTCTTGAGAAATAAACGGGTTTCTTGAGAACAATACTGGTTTCTTGAGAAATAAACTGGTTTCTTGAGAAGTAAACGGGTTTCTTGAGAAATAAACTTGTTTCTTGAGAAATAAAGTCGTTTCTTGAGAAATAAACGGGTTTGTTGAGAAATAAACTGGTTTCTTGAGAAATAAACGGGTTTCTTGAGAACAATAAACTGGTTTCTTGAGAAATTAACGGGTTTCTTGAGAATTGAACGGGTTTTTTGAGAAGTAAATGAGTTTCTTGAGAAATAAAGTCGTTTCTTGAGAAATAAACGGGTTTCTTGAGAAATAAACTGGTTTCTTGAGAAATAAACGAGTTTCTTGAGAAATTAACGGGTTTCTTGAGAAGTAAACGGGTTTCTTGAGAAATAAACGGGTTTCTTGAGAAATAAAGTCGTTTCTTGAGAAATAAACGGGTTTCTTGAGAAATAAACCGGTTTCTTGAGAAATAAACGAGTTTCTTGAGAAATAAACGGGTTTCTTGAGAAATAAACTGGTTTGTTGAGAAATAAACGGGTTTCTTGAGAAGTAAATGGGTTTCTTGAGAAATAAAGTGGTTTCTTGAGAAATAAACTGGTTTCTTGAGAAATAAACTGGTTTCTTGAGCAAAAAAAAGGTTTCTTGAGCAAAAAACCCATTTTTTTGTTCAAGAAACCCGTTTATTTATCAAGAAACAGGTTTCTTTCTCAAG